AGATGGTAAATTCAAGTTCAAGGGAGAAAGGAGGAAAACAATGGAAGAAAAGGGATAGAAGGAGAAAGGGAAGAGGCAAGAATAAGAGGTGACTGAATTACAGTGCTTCACTAGATGCATCTGACACACACATAATATTGAATATAATGCAATCCGTGAGACTTTTATCTGGCTTTCTCCTTAAAAATGGAGGTTGGAAGTGAGAATGGGGGAGAACCAGAATATGGAGCCTGCCAAAACCAGAGGCTAGGCCTGATTGCAGAGTTACATAGCTAACTCCAAATACTTGTTTGTAGCCCAGTTTGAAACCTGGAAAGGGAAAGGAAAAATCTGTAATCATTTATGCAGATACTCAATAAACTCTCTTTAACACTGATTTAAGTACTTTAACACCAGGGTTTGAAATTATTTCCAGAGAAATCTTGAAAAGTAAAGCACAGCAGTCTTTGCTCCCCAAACAAACAAACATGCATATGAATGAACAAACAGATACATAAATAAGTAAATAAGATAAAATTGTGCTTGGAGAAAAGGTGATTATACTTTGCTTAGTTTTATTCAGTCCCAGAGGCTAAATAGGAATTTTAAAGAGTCAAGCTAATTTTCTTTAAAATCATATCACAGTTGTTCCAAAATAAGATGAGGCCTGTTCTATAACCCTCCATGTTGGAATGACTTAGGTGCGGCTATTGTGTGCTATCTTCTTTATGGTCATAGGAACCCACGTTTTAAAAATCAAAAACAAAAAGTCTAAGGAAAAACCAAAACGAAACTTCCAGCCAAAGAACAGGTATGTCTTGAGATCCCAAAGAAGGAAGGAACATGGGACTATTGGCCACTTCCTAATTCCTCTAATTGTTCTAGTTCACCTCTTCCTCCTCCTCAAATGACTACACATATTCTTATCTTTTATGTATTGAATGCATTCCCTCCAGGAGAAGACAAATTCCTTAAAGACAGCCACTATTTTTCATTGTCCCCATAGGTTCACCTATCCGTCTAGGCAGATGACTCCCAAAGCTACATATCCAGCTCTCATTCCTCTCCTGAGCTTTAAAGTGGAACTCATTAGCTTTAGCCATCACCTTCCACCCCAACCCCAAACCCAGCCCTTCTCCTAAATGGCTTTCTTCCGGTCATCGAGGTTCACAATCTAGGCGTCATCTTCAATTTTGATTTTTCTCTTCCCTCCCTCCTCTATATCAAATAAATTGTCAAATTGTTGATTCTTCCACCACAAAATCTCCCCAATGTATTCCCTTCTCTTCAGTGACATAACCATAATCTTAATTCAGGCCATCACCTTCCATAGGTGGCCGCCATAACAGCCTCCTAACAGGTCCTCTCCAAACCAAGCTACAAACAATTGACAAACTGATAATCCTCAGGTGCGGATCTGTCCTGTCAACTTCACTACTCCAGAAACTGTAGTTGCTCCCTGTTGCCTCCAGGATAAACTTGTTGGTTTGCCATTTAACAATGTCTCCAGTCCACCCATCGGTCAAGAATGATTACAAATGACTCCTCTCCACACACTTTACATTCCAGCCAAACCACCACACTGGCTGTTCCAGGTAGGTAGCATTCCATTTCCCATCTTTGTACTTTGAATAGACTGACCCCAATGCCCCAAGCCTCCGCACCATTACCTCTTGAGACCATCTGCTCTCTTCAAAGCTTTGCTCAGGTACCACCCCCTATAAGAGGACTGTCCCAGGTGCTTGAGACTCCACTCCTCAGAAATAATTTTACATTTACTTTGTATATATTATATTTATGTATCTGTGCATATGTTGTTTGTATCCCAAGTTAAAAGTTCTTTGAGGGAAAGGATGGTTTCATTTCTTTGTATCCCTCAGTGCTCGACACATAGTAGGCACTGAAAATTAGCCCCGAGAGCCTCGCCAAGGACCTTGCACATAGTAGGTTCTTAATAGGAGCAGCTAGGAGATGCAGTAGAGTGTTGTTCTTGGAGTCAGGAAGACTTGGAAAGACTCCCGTTGTGACTTTTTGCCTTAGACTTTTACTGAATTCTGTGACCTTCGGCCTTTCCCAGCCTTAGTTTCCTCATCTGTAAAAATGAGAATAATAGTACCTACTTCATAGGATTAAAGGATAATAAATGTAAAGTACTCTGCAAGCCTTGAAATGCTACATGAGGTGTCCCAAAAATATTACGGTAGTTTTAAATAGAAGACTGCACTAAGACTTTTGGGACACCCTGGATAAGTGCTATTTAAGTGTGAGACTGGATTGTAGTCTCCCACAGAAAGTCTTTTTCATCTACAACTTCTCCTAGGGAGGAGCAGGCACGGGCTTAAAATACTGCAAAAGGAGGGGGTGTCATCTATCTAGTTAATTAAAACACACATGACACACGGGACAATTCCTCCCCTCCTTAAAAGGAAAAAAAAAAGCAGAAAATAAGGACCTGTTAGATCACTCCTCTTGAGAATGCTTTTTGTAAAGGAGCCCGAGAAGGAAGGGTCACGCGATTTCTTTGCAGCACGTTTCAAGAAGGCAGAAAAAAACCACGAAACCCACCCTCATATCTTTTAAGAGGAGTCACAGACACATGCACCCACACGTTCAACCCCGCAGTGAGGAATGAAGCAGGCACTAGTAAGTAGCCCAGCCACGAAGCTCCAGAAACATCTGTCTCCGCGGCTAATGGGTTTAGCAGGTGACTTAGCTGCAAGGCTGGGCCTTCCTTGGTCGCTCGAGTTCCGAGGAGGGAGGTGGCTGGGTGGCGGGTGTGCGTGTCGGGAAGGGGGTGGTGGTGGGGGGAGGCGGGGTGCTACTGGCTCTCCCTCCCCCACGCTGCTGGCAGAGCAGCCTCTGCGTGTCAGGTACCGTGAGAAGGCGCGGGAGGAGGGGGAGCCCAGATGAGTACTGAGAGGATGACTTAGAGCCGGCTTTCCAGAAGCCGCGCACGCAATGCACACTCCGCACGCAAAGGGGAGGCGACCCAGGAGAAGGAAAAAAACACACACACGCCACCACCAAACTTTTCAACTCTATAAAGCTCATGAGACTCTTTTCTTTTTCCTTTTGCGCAGCCCACTCAGTCTCACCAAGGGACGCCAGCCTGTCCCGTCTCGCCCCACCCCCCTCGCACTCCTTGCTTCCCCCAGGATAATCCTCTCTTGGGGCTGCTCTGCCCAGACAGACAGAGAAGAGCAAAGGGAGAGCGAGTGTGCGCCCACGGCCAAAGCCTGCCCGGGTTACGCAGAGAGCGAGCGAGCGCGCGCGCCCCGACCCAGCATCTACAGGCAGATTCCTGCGTGGTTGTCCGCCGAGGGAGCCGGGCAGGCTGACGCGGCTTTTCGCCGTCTACCCGGCATCTATGATTATGACTATGATTGTTTATTCAAGTACCCCATCTGGAGGATACCTGAAACCCTACCTCGTATGCCTTGGAGGTGTCAGAAGTTAGTGCTCAGGTGTGCCTTAAACATTCTGAGGATATTCAATAAACTTAAAAAAAAAAAAACCCCAAAACAAGCGGTTTTTAAACAAGTTCACGTTTTCCTATACAGTCCTCATTCTTCTTTGTATGTTGAAATGTTTGTGGTTGTTATTTGCAAAGTTCACAGGGGAAAAAATATGAAAATATAAGAGTAGGGAATATGTATTTATATAAGCGTTTGCTATGTATAGGGAGCTTTACACATATCTCGTTTTATCCTCACAACAGCCCTGAGAGAAGCTATTGACCCCAGTTTACAAATGAGGAAACTGAGGCAGAGGTTAGGTGACTTGCCCAAGGTCCCTAGTACGTGTCAGAGGCCCATTTTGAAATCATGTCTTCCGGACTCCAGGTCCAGAGCTCTATCTAGCAGCTCTATCGCTGCTTCTAAGGGTGTGAATAGGGGGGATATTTTAAATAAATGAGTAGTTGATAGGGAGATTAGGTAGGTAAGCAGACAGACAGAGAGACAGACAGATAGACAGACACACAGACAGATGGATAGATAGATAGATAGATAGATAGATAGATAGATAGATAGATAGATAGATAGATAGATAGATAGATAGATAGATAGATACCAAAGTGGTGGGAGCCTGTTTCTTAGCTTACGGTTTATTCAAACGCAGTGCAGCCTCACACCACTTTTACCGTGCTGGAGGTGAGGGGGGTAGAGCGGACAGATAACCAAGAGAATAAAATAAGAAGGGTATCAAGGCGTGCTGAATCAAAGGATTGGATTACAGGTTTAGATTTGGAAGGGACCTTAGAAGCCACTAACTCCAAGCCCTTCGTGTTACACCTGAGGAAAATGAGAATGGGAGAAGTTAAGTGACTAGATTGGGGAAGATCGAGGTTGAAATCCGGACTGACAGGTACAGGCCACGTGACCCTGGACAAGTCACTTAATTTCTCAGTAGCCCCAGGCCACTCTAAAACAGTAGGGCACAGAGCAGTTGAACATCTGCAGTTGGGAGAGGAGGTTTTCCTCAGCAAGAGCTCCGGAGCAAGGAGGGGAAAAAGTCCCAGAAAGTAGAGTATAGATAAAGTGTAAAGAGATGCAAAGCCTGAATGTTTGCATTAAGACCCTCTGATGCCCATGGAAGAATTGACCCTGGGAAAAAGTGATGAGCTTCGGGGTGAGGAGGGTGACTTTGGTGCTGAGATTCAGCTCTAAATGGAAACTAGGTGGAATCCGAGCCTTGGGAACCAGCGTATACTTTTATCTTAGGGGTGACTGCATCTCATTGCAAAGAAGCCTGCCACCTGTATTCTGGGGCGTAAATTTGCTAGTTACTCAAATAAATCCTGCTTTCGGCTGCACAGCAACTAGGGTCTGATTCTCCCACCGCGTTTGCCTTTGGGAACTGAAGTCTAACTCACCCGGGTGCCACTCTTAAAGGGCCCCTCCCCCCCTGCCTACACTGCCCCGCCCTTTCCAGGTCCAGTCTGCCCGCTGATGCTCCGACCGGCTCCCACCTCCCTTCTTTCTTCCCTCCCTCCCTCCTTCCATCCCTCCTCCCTTTCAGAGTCCTTAAAACCCGGAGAAATGGGATGCCTCATTTCCAAAGTCCAGACTGGTTCAGTTTGCAAGTAGCAAATTTCTGTTTCACATCAGCTCTGTCAGCTAGGAGTAGGGGTTGACCCTGTCATCCTTGCTCCCAAACCACCTCCAGCGCCGCTAGGAAATCCTAGCATTCTTCGCGTCCCGGGGTGGAGGGCACCTGGGAAGGTAACTACCTTTTCATAGCTTCACCTCACCTAAAGTTTCTCCAGATTCCCTAATTTCGCCCTCTGGGCGGGAGTGGGGATGAATTACTGACTCCGTGGAGCAGGTGAAAAGAGAGACACTCCCCACCGTGCAGCCTTTGAGATTCATCCTTGCCAGAACGGTGCTGTCAGGAATATAGAGGTCTTACATCTCTCCCTCTTCGACGCAGCTGAGCCTTGGTTGTACCCAGAGCTACACTCATTTCCTACTGCTGAAAGCAGCGCCTACCCACAGGTCAGTAATATCTTTGAGAAGTCGAGGAAGCCCTCACCTCCCCGTTTTACCAGTTTTTGCAGGTGGGTGTGTGAGGGGTGGAGGGAGGACCAGGGAATGCACCAATTGGGAGGTAGGAAAGAGGGGCAGTCCGTGCCTAGATACCCCTTGGGGTTTTCTTCTCTTTTATACTGCTCTGTTTGGGGGCTATTTCTCAGATGCCACACCTGCCCCTTCTTGCCCCGTTAGTAAGGAGTGAGTGAATGGAAGGAGATGAAGGGAGCGCGGTGGGAAGAAGCACAGTTCAGGGGAGATGCTGGTGGAATTCAGCGTCTTCCCACAGACAGTCCTAGAAGCATCCTTGGCGGAGTGTGTGTCCGGCACCCGAGTAATCACAACCCTCTTGCTTTCTAGTTATAGTTGTTTACGTTAGTTATGAGTTGGTCTGTCCTAACTTTATTCTACCAGGTGCTCTAAGCTTTTTCCTCCCCTCTCCCTAAACCGTCCGCCACCCCCATCCTCCCACCCCCCCCATAGCTCTCGATGCCCATGGATCTTGTCTCCCCACAGCATGGCTACAAGCCGAAGTAGCGAAGAAGGCTGGCTTCCCGGCCCTCTGTCCACCCAGCAGACCACCCTCCTGCTCCTCTTTTCCGTGTTGGCCGCCGTCCGCTTGGGCCAATGGTTCCTACGGCGTTGCCGTCGGCCCCCTTTGGTCAGCTGCAGCCCCCCTGGCCCATTCCAGTGGCCCCTGATCGGGAACGCTGTGGAGGTGGGTAGCATTCCGCATCTCTCTTTCACTCGTTTGGCCCGCCGCTATGGCGATGTCTTCCAAATCCGCTTGGGCAACTGCCCAGTGGTGGTGCTGAACGGCGAGCGCGCCATCCGCCAGGCCTTGGTACAGCAGGGTACCGCCTTCGCCAGTCGCCCGCCGTTCCCCTCTTTCCAAGTGGTGTCCAACGGCCGTAGCCTGGCTTTCAGCAAATACTCGGAGATCTGGAAGGTGCAGAGGCGGGTGGCCCACGGCACCGTGCGCGCCTTCTCCACGGGACAAGTCCGCAGCCGCCAGGTCTTGGAGCAGCATGTGCTGAGTGAGGCGCGGGAGCTGGTGATGCTGTTCGTGCAGGGCAGCGCTGGGGGCGCCTTTCTGAACCCAGTCCCCCTCACCGTGGTGGCCGTGGCCAACGTGATGAGCGCCGTGTGCTTCGGCTGCCGCTACAGCCACAGTGACCAGGAGTTCCGCGAGCTGCTGAGCCACAACGAGCGCTTCGGCCGCACGGTGGGGGCGGGCAGCCTCGTGGACGTGCTGCCCTGGCTCCAGCGCTTCCCTAACCCTGTGCGCACTGCCTACCGCGACTTCCAGAAACTCAACCACGACTTCTACAGCTTCGTGCTGGACAAGTTCCTGAAGCACAGGAGCAGCCTGAAGCCCGGGGCCCCGCCCCGCGACATGATGGACGCCTTCATCCGCACCGTGGGGGACGAAGAGGAGAGTTCCGGAGAAGCAAAGCCTGGGTTGCGCCTAGACACAGACTACGTGCCGGCCACAGTCACAGATATTTTTGGGGCCAGCCAGGACACGCTTTCCACTGCACTGCAGTGGCTTCTCATCTTATTCATAAGGTAAGGCTAGACTTACCTGAAGAGGAGGGGGCTGGACCCTGAACCAGAGGCACACATTTAGGGCTTCTTAGTCTCTCTAAAGTTTCCCAGCCGCCTTCAGTTTTCCTACCCTCCCAACCTCTGTCCTGGGCTGGTGTGCTGCGTCCAATAAGAAATCAGGGGCCTTTGCGGACCATTCTGTGACTGCAGCAGCACCTAGTGACGCAGCGTATTCTGCAGAGTTGTGCCCCCTTCATTTTCGATCGCTTGAAGCTTTCCATAGTTAAGGAAGCTAGAGAAATCTCCTAAACTGGAAAAACGTGTGAAGGCAAATCAGTGCGAAACACTTGTAGATAAACAGGTCTTTGAAAAACACTTGAGAATCTCGCCGCCTAGCCTTTTGTCCCCCCTTTCCTTGTCCCTCCTTCCCAGGTACAGGAAAAGCTTTAGGAGACTGTTCCTCCTCCCCTCTTCCTCTCTTCCCCTCCTCCCCTCTTCCTCTCTTCCCCTCCTCCCCTCTCCTCCACTTCTCCCCCCCACTCCCCAGTGAAAAGTGTAAGGCACTAAATATGTTAAATAAACACATCAGCCCATTAGGAGCGCTGGGGCTTAGCTTAGTCAGCAGTGCGTATCTGAGGCGGGCTCTGGCAATCAAACCGAGCAGACGATTTAGGGCTTTGTTTCCCAAGGAAAGTAAACGGAATGAAGCACAGCCAGCTCCGAGCAGGGCTGCCCCACCTCCCCCCGCCCCCTCGCCCCGAGACTTGGTTGAGGCCCAGATCATGATTAGCTAGCACGGAAGCTTTGGGCGTGGAGCCAGAAACACAAGGTCTTATTATAAAGGAAGGAAAGAGCAAGCTGCGAGTATCACAGAAAATAAATAGGGATGGGGAGAGGACTCGTAAAACGCAGAGGCGACCCGGAGCAATAGGTTTACCAGGTGGAGAGGACGCTCTCCACAACCCAGGTACGGCACGCACAGACTGTGGGAATGTGCCCGAGCCTTCTGTCTCTTTTCTTTGTTGTGATCGCGTGACTTGAAGAAGAAGCAAAGGAAAGGTTAAACTTTGCCACCCTTTTAGAGCAGACTCTACGTACACAAGTGCCAACAAAAATCTAATGAGTACAAGACTCACAGTCAGCGGCAATTTATTATAGAAGGGATGCTGCTTGCAACTTCTGTGAGGTTATTCGCAGAAAACTAGAACTGCTGTAGAACTGTGGCAACCACATGCAGAAATCTTAAAAATCAGTGAGGGGAAAAGTGGTACTGGAATCAGAGAGTACAGTCTGTTTTTATCAATGTCAATTGAGAGTATAATGTTACACTACAACTGAAGAAAGGACATCAATAATTAATGAAACAGTTTAGAATTCAACTACATTTTAAAAATCTTGCATAAATTCTAAATTTCAGTTTTCAATATCCTTAAGATGGTACCCAACAACTTTCTGTTCAAGCTGGAAATTTATCTGTAGAGTATTTCTCCAGTGAGTAGATGCTTAAGGAAGGGCTAAGAAAAATGCTGACTTTAGTGAGTGGGTTTTCATCGAGTTGTTGCTCTCAAATCATCATGCCATTTCACACTTGTCTGTCTCTATAAACTTAATTGGAAAAGAAAAACTTTCCATTTCTTTAGCCAAACAGAGTTAAGAAATGCTATCATTTTGGCATCCCTTTAAAACAATAAAGCAGGAAATAAAGAAATATGACATCACATGGTTGTACCAAGCATCATTATGCAGAGTTAAAAAAAAAAATGAACCAACAACTCTCCTCTAAGAAGATAGGGTAGACAAAAATTATGCTGCGTAGGCCCTTAACATGAAGTGAAAAGAAAACTTCTAAGATGCAATATCTTGAGTATCCCCAAAGTTAAAGCCCATTTAATGATGTAACCAGAACTCATGAAATTTTTTTAGTTACAGTTATATTGTTAGAGAAATGTTACATTAGCATCTCAGTCTGGAAAATTTTAAAATAATCAAACAACTTTTTCCCAAACAGATAATTTAAAATAACTATTTGTCTTGATCCAATAGAAAATACTTTCCCTAATTGTTTTCTCCACTTGTGTTTTTAAAAACAGGTATCCTAAAGTGCAGGCTCAGGTACAAGAAGAATTGGATAGAGTTGTGGGCCGAGATCGATTGCCCTCTTTGGATGATCAGCCTCATCTTCCCTATGTCATGGCTTTTCTGTATGAAGCCATGCGCTTCAGTAGCTTTGTGCCTGTTACCATCCCACATGCCACCACCATTGACACTTCAGTCCTGGGCTACCACATTCCCAAAGATACAGTGGTATTTATCAACCAATGGTCAGTTAATCACGACCCAGTGAAATGGCAGAACCCAGAAGACTTCAATCCAGGCCGATTCCTGGACAACAATGGATTCATTGACAAAGACACGGCGAGTGGGGTCATGATTTTCTCTGTGGGCAAACGCAGGTGCATTGGGGAAGAGCTGTCCAAAATACAGCTATTCCTCTTTATTGCCGTTCTGGCCCACCAGTGCAATTTCCTTGCCAATCCAGATGAGGACCCGGAAATGAATTTTAGTTATGGGTTAACCATTAAACCGCGATCATTCACAATTAATGTCACCCTGAGAGAATCTATGGAACTACTTGATAATGCTGTTCAAAGGCTACAAGCCAAAGACAACCAATGAGGAACTAGCGGAAGTGTAATGAACTCAAAGTTGGAAAAACAAATGAGTCTAACAGTCTCTGTTAGTCTCTTTCTGCCACCAACACATGCTCCTGTGAGCCTTTCAGATGAGCACCCACCAATAAGTATTTCTTAAGTGCCTGATGGGTGGTCCACCCTATAAGTGGATCCTGGTGAGACGATGCATTTGACATAGCTAATGAAACTACAAAAATAACTTGCAAGATTTCATGATAATAGAATAAAAGGAGATGAGAAGCTTTTAGAAAGATACCATAGCTTCACTATAACACTGTCTTTGGGGACTGCTTGTTGAAACTTTTTATAGGTTTAAGAAAACCCAAAAACCTAAACCTCCTTTTGGTATCTCAGTAATGGCACAAACCTTGGGTAAGTTCCAAAAAGGCAACTTCTTTTTGTGGAATTCTGTTGTGGAGCAGACAGCAATGCAACAGAGTCCCGGGGTATATTATTGTACACTCCAAACCAAGTAGAGTAGTTTGAAGGAGAGAATGAGGCTGAAAAAAACTTGTGAAGACTCTGCTGGCTTACTCTTCCTCTTCTAAATCTTGCAACAGAGTCATTAAAAATTTCTGTTCAGAAAGGCCCAAGTACTCAAAGATTATGTTTTATCTTTAGTCAAATGTAGCACTCAACATTGATTGAGAAATGATATAATGTATGATGTAAAATCGCTCATGCAAAAAAGTAAATGGGGGAAAATTCAGCTTATAGCAAATTTTAGCGTTTTATAATGAATTTTGAAATGCAACCTGTAATATTCCAAGCTAGATACTTGCCTTCTGGTTTCCAAAATTCGGTATATTTACAAATTTGGTAAAATTATGAATTTGTTTGTAGGTGTGACTAAAATTCAAATGGATAGCAGACTATACCCAGTCTAGTGAAGGATAAATGAAGTTAGTTCATCACAAACTACACAAAACATTCAATATGCATAACTATTCATTATAAATAAAAATGGTATTAGTGAAAAGGAGTTATTTAGATAAGGGAAAAACCAAATTAAAGCTATCTCCTAATGTAGCACACGCACACACATGCAAATGGAGTGACTACCTGGTTGTTTGCTAAGATACCAAATAGCCAATTTAAATGAGCTGCATTGTTGAAGGTACTACAACTGAAGGATGATGATTCTCATCTAAAACCCTTTTTAGTTTCAAGTTGTATTCATTGTTCCCCCAGTCTTTAATTATAATAATTTCGTATGTTCTTTTCCCAAACCGAGTTGATTAAAGTTATTTTGTGACTAAATATCTTTCAACATTTTAATATGACCCTGAAATCTTTTTTTCAGGATCTAAATTTTCAACTGAGGTTAATGAAAATTTTGAGTCTTTGGTTTAAGAAGGATGGGGAAAGTTAGGCTCTTTTAACATGATGCCAAACATCTGGATAAATGATGAAAGTAGTCAGTTTCCTGGATGTCCTTTGGTATCCTATAGATAAAACACTTGGAACTTTGACCCAGATGTTTTATTGTCCCTTATAGACATCCACATGGATATTTCCTGTATTTATCTCCTTTCATATTTCAAATTATATTTGAATAACAATTATAACACGAAGCACCTTCAATGGCAACATTCACATACTGAAATACATGAAACTGGAAAACGGGCGATCCAAATTCAAGGAAACTTTGGTTTCCAACTGGTGTCATGATATAAATGATAAATAATTTTTTAAGATAGCCAATTCAAGGTATGGTTTTTGTAAAGAGGAAATATTTATATGTATAGTTAGCTTAATAAAATATTAATTTATTGACTAACCTTAAAATTGAAAAACTGATAAGCAAAATTATGATTTCATAGTTACTTCCAAAATTATAAAACAATTGCCTAACAATTCACTGCTTATTTAAAACAAAACTAAAAAAGAAATCATATGCACTTCTTTGGAAGTCACTGTTGATAGAATTACAGACTGTTTTATGTGTGTTTGAGAGAGGGAATTGGAAGAAAGATGAATAACTCAAATATTTTTCCCTTGTATGCTAAATTACTTTGCTTGACGCACATAAATTCAGAAAAAGAATGCCCAGAGTGCCAGTTGCAAGTCAGAATTTATGACCTTCACAAGGACAGTAAGTTTTGGAAATTTAATAATGAAAACTAGCAGTCGTACTTATTTCATACAATTTTTCTTTTAAAAGGTTGTTCAAAAGCCACTGGTGAGACCAAATATATATGTGTTCCTTCCTTTACCATCACAGAGTAATCTAACCATACCCAAGTAGGACCAGAGAATTTGTTCTGTTGCCAAATTGGACTTTCCAGAAGTGCTTTGGCAGAATTCGGCATATAGAAATACAGTTAAGTCATTGAGACAGCTTGATTGAAATGTTTGACTATGCCGTAATTCACTTCTCTGTATATACGTCCCAATGTTACCTGATAATAAAGCCATGTTTAGTTAACGTAAGTAAAATAGATACTTGGTATTTATCTGGCTAATTTGGTCAGGATATTTAGATACATCAGTTGATGTTAACTATTTACTGATCACTCCCTTTTCTCTCCACTCTTTTTCTACCACCAAAAAAAAAAAAAATTCACTTTGTGGCCTGAATTTTTCAGATTGGTGATTAAATTGATTGGACTAAATGCATAATTACTTCATCTCATTTCATTTTTGAGCTATATAGATTCCATATAGAATATTTGCAAATCATCTATAAAAGCAGAGTATCTGTTCCAGATAATCACTGCAGCTAGAACATTTTCATAAAACAAGTGTTTTGTTTTGTTTTGTTTTTATTTTGAGTCTTGGACTTTGTAAGAAGATTGTCTTAAAAATATTCCAAAGGAAATATCTCAGGATTGTTTTGTGGATTGTAGAAAAGTTTTCATGCCCCAGAACTTAGCCTTCACCTGTGAAATTATTTTACGAAGTTAGTATTTTCATGTTAGATCTTTATTAGATCATTTAATTATATAAGATATACTTCACTTGTATTTTTATAATTATGAGGCCGCTGTGTGAGGGCCCCTTGTTATTTAGCCTCTGTTATCTTTGGATCTTTTCCAATAAGCTTTAAATACGTATATAGTTACCACAGAACGAAGTTGTAGCTGAAAGTGATGCACGTTCATTTTTGTGATATGCAGCATGAATGCAGTACAAATTATATATATTATATATATGCATATGCATATATGCCTCTGTAAAATTGTTTCTTTTTAATTGTGAGGACTTTTTTCTATCCTCAAGGATTTAGAATGCCTGTAATCATGGAATGCTATTACCAAAACATTAAATAAAAGTTGTTTTTTATAAACAATTGTTAATTTTATGTCATTGGATAAAACTACTTCATTTCACGAAGATGCACAAGAATCCTTCCAACTATAGTATATAAATGGTTAACAAATGTGTGTCTCAAACATTTTACCCAGCCATTATCTCTTTCATGCTACTTAATCTTTCTATATGTTTATTTTATCCAGCCTCCTTGCAAATTCCTAATTGATGTTATTAAACTTGTCAGAATCATCCCTGAAAGTTAAATCTCATTAACAACTAATCAGGCAAAATGGCCATTAGAAATGCAATTTGGGGAGGCACATTGAGATTGTAATCATGTATTTTATTTTACAGGAAAAATCATTTTTTAAAAATGTCAAACATATGACTCTGCCCCTCATAAAGGATTTGTATTTTATTCATTTCTCTATCCATTTATGGAGAGTGGGACAAATTAAAATGAAGTCAGTGGCTGGAAACAATATGGAAGGAACTTATCCAAAGGGTGTTGAAACCTGAAAATTGTTACACCCACCTACCCACCCCCAACCAATGTTTACATTTGGTCAGAGACTTTCTGTTTTCAGGTATATTTATTCTCTGTCCTTGCAGACAGGCTTTGAATCTCTCAGTGAGAGAGAGAGAGAGAGAGAGAGAGAGAGACAGAGAGACAGAGACAGAGAGAGACAGAGAGAGAGAGAGAGACAGAGACAGAGACAGAGAGAGAGAGACAGAGAGAGACAGAGAGACAGAGAGACAGAGAGACAGAGAGAGAGAGAGAGAGAGAGAGAGAGAGAGAGAGAGAGAGAGAGCCCATCTCTTCTGGCCTGTAGTTCATATTACAGTGAAAAACAAGAAGAGGAATTATGAAATACAGAGTTGACTGCCTGAGGTCACTGACATTTTGGTGGAAACTTTCACTTTGCTGGTCCCTCCTGTCCCCTGCCACCAAGAGGTAAAACTGTGAATTCACTTAAGAGAATGTTTATTCTTTTTTTCCTTCTAGATAGTTTGAGATGGGAATTTGGTAATGGTTATTCAGCAACCTTTCCTCAGTCAGATAGTGGGATTCTGGTTGCCTGTTCAGGAAAAGCAAAAGAGACTAGTTTCATGTGAAAATCCTATTTTTTTTAAATCACTCTTTGGGGGCAGGTCTTTGCAAAAATTTAAGTCACATAAAAACATATGTTGGTTTCTATTGTAACAACCAGGTAGTGCAATTAATCCCATTACATGGGGAGAAATGAAAACAGCTTTGGACATGACAGGCACATTTATTATAAACACATTTAGTCTGTTTCTGGAATAGCAGAATGAATCACTGTATTCGCACAGATGCTAGGGGAGTGTTCTTCACTGGTGTTTGATGGCCTTACCCACTTCCCATTCCACTTTTCCCTCCTTATTTTTCCCTAATTCTAAGAATGACCTCCACTCCTTACCAAACTCTGCCATCTTATTGACTCACAAGAAATAGAAAGGGAAAATATCAAAAAATGAAAGACTTGACTAGAACCAGAAGCAAAAAACATTTTTATTAAAGTTATGAAATAGACAAAGTAGTCTGTGTTGTGGTCTGCTATGAAGTCTGGTATGATACTGTGTGGGCCCGGTGCTATCCTCAAATGAGCATAACTGTGTTCTATGCAGTTCGCCTATGGTTAACTCAAAGTTGACTTTGGCATTGAAAGTAAGGGCTGAGGTTGGTCCCATGATGCAGTGAGAAGAATGTTGGACTGGGAGTAAGAGGACCTAGGTTCAAATTTCACCTCTGCTGATTATTTTTGAGTGACCTTGGACAATGCATTTCATCTCTACAAAATGAGGGGGTTGGAATAGCTGACCTCCAAGGTACCTTTTTGCTCTAAATCTTTGATGGTATATTCTCTGCCATCTCACTGGCCTATATGAGGATAGACAAATTATAGGCATGCAGTATGCAAGTGTGTGTGTGTGTGAGTATGTGTGTGTGTGTCTTTATGGTCCAAATTTCACACTTGCACATGACCCTGGGACAAGTGATAGTGGAGATTAGTGTTCTAATTTATTACATCATCATCTCTTCTTCATGCAGGTAGAATGGAAAAGATGCCAGTGTATTTGTAGGAAGTCCAACCAGTATGAACAGAAAGCTGTACTTTTTGGAATTTTACAAAAGCTAGACATTACTCAGTGTACTAATGGCATATGCCATTCTATATAGGCAAAATCTTACGGTCACAGAACTATCTCAAGAAGTCTTGGGGTTGGACAGCATGGTAGCACAGTAGATAGAGCTCTGGCCTTGGAGTCAGGAGGACCTGAGTTCAAATTTGGCCTCAGATACTTGACACTTACTAGCTGTGTGACCCTGGGCAAGTCACTTAACCCTGATTGCCTCACCAAAAAAAAAAAAGAAGAAGAAGTCTTGGGATTGCAACATTCATTCTACATGATCCCATTGAGGCTGTAACTCTGTAAACAGATCTGTTAACATCCTTGTTATGATGCTTTAAAACATTTTTTTTATTGGTATCTTATATTTTTGTATTGCCTGGATTTCCTCCTGCTTCCTTCTCAGAGAGTCATTATTTATAACAGAGATTTTTTTTTAAAAAATAAAAAGAAGAAGAAAAGAAAATTGAACAATAACAGAAAAAATATTGACATTATATACAATGTTCCACATGTGTAGACCCCGACCTCTGCAAAAAATAAGGGGGTGGTATCTTCTTATATCTCTTCTTTAGGGTCAAGTGTGTTCTTAGTAATGTTGCAATATTCATTTTTCAATTATTTTGTGGCTGTTCTTTCCATTTACATTGTTATAATTTTAATGTATGTTCTTTTCTTGGCTTCCTTACTTCACTTTGCATTAAATCAGGTCCATCTTGTCATACTTCTTGTATTTATTGTATTCATTGTTCTTACAGCACAATAATATTCCATTAGATTCATATGCCACAATTATGTAACCATTCCCCAATTGATGGACATCTTCTTTGTTTCCAATTCTTTGTTACAACAAAAAGTGCTGCTATATGTTTCAGGAGGTGCATATGAATTTTCTTTTTATCAGTGACCTCCCTAGAATACATTCCTATTATAAATCTCTGGATCAAAGTGTATGGACATTTAAAAAATTACTTTATTCACATAATTCTGATTTTGTTTTCTTCATTTGTCTCTCAAAATGATTATACTGATTTACAGCTTTACCAACAATGCACCAGTGTGCCTATCTTCTCACAATCCCTCTCACATAGATTGTTAACATTTTTAATTATCTTTGCCAAATTTCAAGGCATAAGGTGAAGCCTCAAGGTTGTTGTTTTGCATTTCTCTTATTAGTAGTAATTTGGATCATTCTGTCACATGGTTGTTGATAGTTCACAATTTGTCTTTAGAGAAATGTTTGTTCATACCCTTTGACCATTTGTGTGTGTGTGAGTGTGTGTGTGTGTGTGTGTGGGGGGTGTTGTCTATATATCCTGTACATCAAATCTTTATCTAAGAACTTTGATACCAAGATTTTCTTTTCCCATTCAACTGCTTCCATTCTTAATATAAGTGTATTAATTTTGTCTATGCAGAAGCTTTTCAATTTCATGTAATCAAAATTACCTTTTTTATCTTTAGTAATTATCTCTAAACTTTGGCTAAGAACACATTTCCTACCCATAGTTGTGAAATGTACTCGATCTGCTTCTCTTTTAATATTTTTATGGTATGATCTTTAATATTCGGGTTATATATCCATTTAAATTTATTGTGTTGTAATATCTTGGTGTAAGCCTAATTTTGCCGTTATTATTCCTTAATAATATAAACCTGCTTAAGGGATAGGCAATGTGGAGAAGACAATGAATTAATTTTTAGATACTCATTGCTATTTTGATAATAGCATTCATATGGTGTTCTAAGGTTTGTAAAGCACTTTGTAAATATTGTCTGATTTTATTCTCATGAGAACCTTGGGTAGCAGGTGCTGTTAATATCTTCATTTTACAGGTAAAGAACCAGGCAGACAGAGGTTAAGTGACTTACCTAGGGTCACAAAGCTAGTAAATGTCTGAGGCAGGTTTTGAATTCAGGGCTTCCTAACTCCAGGTTTAGCACTCCTATCTTTTCACTGCCTCATTGATATCATTTGTAGATATTTGTGTCTGTCTTACTCCCCTTGCTAGATGCACTCTTGGACATCC